TGAAAAAGAACCTTTAGGACATAGAATATCTAAGGAGCTTATTTATCTCTTCAATTAAACAAAATAACAACAACAAAAACCCAATGTGTAACCTTCTAGGTTCAAGTCTGAATCTTGAGGATTGATTGTGACCCCTCACTAGCTTTTAGTTAATTCTCATTAACAATGCTATTTCTAATGTTTTGAAAATAGAAGCTAATTTAAATATATAATTTGAATTCAATTCTTTATGGAATTGAAAAATATTAATTAAAGTGAGATTTGGAAGGAATTTGAAATATTATATAAGGAGGAGGATATAGGTTTTCTATGCATGGGTTCTAGGATTTTAGGATTTTCTAAACCACTTAGAAAAAGTGTTTTGATGCATCTTTTTAAAATCACTGTTCAGAATATGAAGTTACCATGTTCTTTATAGGTGTTCATTTTGCCATTTTTGTTTGAAGTGTGTGTGTGTGTGTGTGTTTGTGTGTGTGTGTGTGTGTGTGTACAGAGAGCAGTTTAGTTAGGATTATTGCCAAAGAAAAGCCAATCTCCTGGACTGGTCATGCAGTCTTATTGACTTCTTTTAGTTTAGTGAAAAATAGCTCAGAATCGGCTGAGGTAATATTGGGAAAATCCTGTTGAACAGAACTTCTCATCCATATCATAACTGATAGTTTACTGGAGGATACTTAGGGAATGGTTTATAAATAGAAATGGTGACCTATTACAAAAAATGTTTGCCAATAAAGACAATGCCTTAATGAAGTTGTGTCTGGGAAGCCAAAGACCCAGTAGTAAACTGTAATAGTTTCACCAATGTAATATAATTGAACAACTTGGTTAATGATTGTGAATTTGATGGAACTGATTTGGATCATCATCAATAAAATAGCATTCATTTATGGCCTAGAGGTTTTTTTTTTTTTTTTTTTTTTTTTTGTAATTTTGGGAGGAACTTTCCTTTGGCTGCATTCATATTGTTTCTTGCTATAAATAGCAGCTTTGGCTCATAGTTCAACTATCTTAAAATATTTGAGCCAAGCTCTTGTTTTTTGAAGGGAAAGCAGACATATGTCTCCTAGAAATTGGCATGTTTTTCAGAAGCGGAACTATTCAATTATTTTATTATTCAAGAATGTAAGTTGCTTCTTATTAACTGATAAAATGGCTGTAGTTTGTATTTGTAAAATGCCTTCCAACTCTATATCAGACTTTTGATTCTTATCTATAAAAAGTAATTATAGCTTTAATCAGTAAAATAAAATTGCAGGAAATCAAACACAAATCATGTGAACGCTCAGCACAATGCCCTTTGTTAAACACTGGATTTTTTTAGTTTTTTATATTTTTTGAGACTTCTCTTCAATTTTTTTATCTTCCTTGGTATTTCCTTCAGTTGGTAGTGTATAGGTCTGGGCATAGAATAACATCTAAAATATGTGCAAAAAAAAAAAAAACCACCAAGAGTTTTAATAGGCCAATATGAAAATAACCTAAAATTATAAAGCAGGCTCATTTCATCCCCTGTAAACTATTTAGGGATTATCAGGATCGTAAACTAGAAAATCAACATTTTTTGTAAAAAAAAAAAACAACAACAAAACTAGGCATTTGAAAACTAGGAGTCTTTTAAAATTTGAATCTTTTTAATTAAATAAAGAGATCATATAATTATCTCAACTAACCTCTGTTCAGTTTTTAAGCAGTACTTCCATTTCATGATATCTGAAATAATATGTTCCTTTATAAAAGAAGCTATTAATGTTTGGTTAACTGTTCTCTATTATTACTGAGTCAGAAACGATTCAGTCAATCTCAGCTTCTACTTTATCTAACCTGGTAACTTAAAGTATATGTATTGTTTTGTGTTTATTAATCACAATTCTCCTCTTCTTTTGGCTTGCTCTCATTCCCAAGAAGTAGACAGGAAAAATTTGGGCATGGGTCACCAACAAGCTTTTACACATGATTCCTATTAAATGTTCATTTCAGAGTCTACTTATGCAGAAAGGAGTTTGCATAAATACTGGGCTGTATAATAGGCAGAGGAAGATTCAACGCCAGTTAGCAGCCAAGAAAAATGTAACGCTGCATATTAGCATACATCCTGATTCTGCCTCAGTAAGATAGAATTTCCAGTTTCCTTCTTTGCACTGACAATGGAAAAACTTAATCTTACCTTTAGTCATGGATCAGGCAGGTACTGCTACCTGTTGTAAACCTCACTGAAACGTAAAAAAAATATTTCCCAAGTTCATGTAAATCATTGAGAACTCATAGATGGAAAGAATGTTACTGGGTGATTTGCATCACAGTTGGTTCTGATGTGCAAATATATAAAATAGCCTGAATTGGAAAATAAACTGTTGGACTTATAAAAAGAGATTTGCTAATATGCCCAAGAATTTATAGAAATATCCCTATTTGTTCTTTTTTCAAATTTTCAAATTTCCTCTTTTCCCTGATCAGAAACATTATCTTTCTGTGTTTATGATGGCTAAAGGGAGGTGAAGATTTGGCTTGGTGATATCTGAAGACAATTCTTTCTCAAGGATAATAAATAAGTAAATAAAAATAAAAATAAATGTTCTTCACTGCCACTGCTGTACCTATAATGAATATTACCTTTGACCCTTTAATCCAACATATTTCATGAATTACTCATTCTAAGAATTATGCAATATGTTGAATTCTAAGCTAATTAAATGGGAATTTGTGCAACACACTAAGCCACCAAAAAGAAAAGAGAAAACCAAAAGAAAATTAAAATTAGTCAAGCTTAACATGAGAAGCAAATACACCCCTTAAGATTTTCATAGAGCAGGTTAAGCATGGTGTATAAACACAATTACAATATTCTTTAATATACCTGCTTAGCATTTTCTTTTATACCATCATGACTGTATTGAGTCAAATATTTGAGACAAATTGACTAACTCTATTGTTTATTTTACTGTTGTCTGACATTTTCTATTTTATTATATTTTCTATCCAGATACACAGTAAAACTAAATATTATTTGAATAATATCATCATGAAAGACATCTTAAGACATTTCTAGTTGGTTATTAACAGTGTTTTTAAAATATCTATTAAATGTTCAGAGATACATTTAACAAATTTGTTTTCTCACAAATTTAACTTGATTGATTTGTAGTTCATGGAAAAGTTTTCATTTACATCCTACACTGATGCATACATACATACATACATACACACACACATATATACAACTATTTTCCTGCTAAGCTAATATCAACCATAATTTCAGATCTCTACCATGCCGACCAGATCTGTTTACCAGTTAGAAAGCATAAAATTAAATCCAGACATTCAATACAACAATGCAAACTATGCTTTTATAGTGACATATACAACAGATCAAATATCGTACTCTTCCTAGTTTCCATAAGTCAGATAAAAATGAAAGGTGTTTTTGCTAATAAAACTAGTGTGGAAAGATAAGGCTTAACTATTACTACTTTAAGCATTGGCTTTGAACAAGGCAATTTCTTTTATTATTAGGATTAGGTTTAAATGCTCTATTTTAATGATTTTTATTTTTATATTAATGGATTATTTTAATAAATTAATAAATTATATAATTTATTAATATAATTTAATAAATTATATTAATTTATTAAAATGCTTTATTTTAAAAGGTCTTTAAACCCAGTCCCTTTCCAGCATTCTGTCATATGTAGCTCCAGTCCCAATTGTGATTCTAAGCCAGGGACTACTTGTATATATATTTGCAGAACATTTCAAAAGAAAATCAATCTGACACAAATGGTGAGAGTGAATTAACTCTTGTGCCTTCAAATGTGCACAAGTATGTTTACAAAAAGGGGCTAATTTTATGCTGTCAAAAACATTTTCACATATTCTTCTGTAATTCAAAGCAAATTCAAAGCATGCTTCTCACAGATAATATTTCACTATGTGGCTCATTATTACTGAAAGTCTAGCTTGATGAAATCTTGTTTTTTAAATCAGTGATATTATATTACCAATGATAAATATAGCATATTAAATTGAAAACAGTCTTTGTAAGCTAGGAGTATTTCTGAAAGTTTAGTATTTTAGATTTGGTATTAAGCAAGTCTTCTCATTGACATATCATTAATTAGTAACCATTGCTGTAGGAATGAATGGAGTTTTAGGGTGCATCAGAGGAATTCCAATCTTTTAAAAACAATTTAGATGAAATGCTAAGAGAATGATGGAATGAGGTAACTCTATAATTCAGAATTCAGAGAGACTTATTTATGACTAGATAAACAGACCCAGGATAAACACAGGAGAGGTAGGGGAATTGCTATTTTATATTTATATTACTAGGATTAAGCATTATATTTGACAAACACTTATTAAAAGCCATTCTGTGGAAATCTTTAAAGTATCATATTTTTTTTGAAAAGTACAATTTCAGGCGAAATGAAAGAAATGATGTAATTGTGGCGATGAGCAACTCCAATTTACCTGATAAATTGGGCTAATATACTAATACGAACACAAAACTGCTCAAGGGGATTTGTTGGATGTTGAAAGAATAACTCCTAGCAGTACTAGGTCATGAACTGCTTAGCTTTCACAAGTAGCTTCCATGTTCCTTCCAGGCAAAAGGAGAGATGAGACTTACTACTGATTTCAGTCTCCGCAAATAAAGTGCCATCATGATAGGTTAACGCTTCCTTTAGCACAATAATGACCGCCTATCCAGAATGTTCAGGAACCTGGCATGCTAACCTCATATTATGAAAAAAAAAAGTTTCCTTGTACCTGTTAAAAGAAGGAGACATTCTTGTACTGTGCTTTCAAGTTTGTAGATTCATGTATTACTAATCATTAGTTGCATCTCTCTTGTGCACGTATTGACTTTTTGGGAACCTTGGCTTACTTACTGACTGTGCATAGGCGCTTTCCAACATGTTGCATAAGCAGAGGGACCTGTTGTGCAAGGTCTGTTAAGTAGTCGGTTTATATACCTTATATTGTAATTTTGATCTTTCTAGAAAACAAAACCATGGCAACAAAGGAGAAGCTGCAGTGTTTGAAAGATTTTCACAAGGATATCCTTAAACCTTCCCCTGGCAAGAGCCCTGGGACTCGGCCTGAGGATGAGGCAGAGGGCAAGCCACCACAACGGGAAAAATGGGCCAGCAAGATTGATTTTCTGTTGTCTGTAGCTGGAGGGTTTATTGGATTAGGCAATGTCTGGCGATTTCCGTATCTCTGCTATAAAAATGGCGGAGGTGAGTATCCTTACGATGCTCATAATTAGTTACTGGTCTGAATGGTTATTTTGCTAAGTCATAAAATCTTCCTAATCACCTTTCTGTTTTTTTCCCTCTACAGGTGCATTTCTCATACCTTATTTCATTTTTCTGTTTGGGGGAGGTCTTCCTGTATTCTTTCTGGAAGTGGCTCTAGGACAATATACCTCTGAAGGAGGAATTACATGCTGGGGAAAGATCTGCCCTATTTTCTCTGGTTGGTTATTTATCTTCTATTTCCTTAATTCATAGGATGCTATGAGGTTCTGTTAGAGTGTTAGGTTAACACAGAAAAGAAGTGTATGTGGGAGGATGGGATGCTAGGCAAATGGAAAAGCCTTGGTTTTTAATAGCAGAGAGGGGATTTATCTGAAATTCTTCACCCATTAATTTCCTTTCATCCATGTGAAATGCTGTCACATGCATATCAGGATGAAATAGAATAGCAGTGGTAGAACAATTGGTCCAAGGACAAATCCTGTTTGAGACTTTCATTATTCTGAAAGGAATTGAAATCTCCTCAAAAGCAGGATACTTATACCAATAATGCAATTTGATGGATTTTTTTTTCAAACCAAACTTTGCCCTATAGTGTATGACCTTTTGTATAGTTAAGCATTCTTACAACAATAGTAACATGTTTAATTATTTATTTGTATCCCATTTTGTTCCTGTTTAGTTGACAACAAAATGGCCTTAAATAGAAATCTAAAACATTGCCTTCTTTTAATTCTGTCCCCACTATGTCTCTCCTTTCTTTCTTTCTTTCTTTCTTTCTTTCTTTCTTTCTTTCTTTCTTTCCTTCCTTCCTTCCTTCCTTCCTTCCTTCCTTCCTTCCTTCCTTCCTTCCTTCCTTCTTTCTTTCTTTCTTTCTTTCTTTCTTTCTTTCTTTCTTTCTTTCTTTCTTTCCTTCCCTCCCTCCCTCCCTCCCTCCCTCCCATCAGATGTCCAAATTTAGGCATTTGCCCCTCAAAGATAAAGAATTTGAACAGTTACCATGACTAATGACAACATAAATTACTGCTGAGCTCATGTATTCACAATCATTAAATTGTTCCAGGGCAATTTGGTATTTTGTAAAGAGACTGTAGATTAGAAAAGATTTTTTTCTCTCTTTTGGTCTCCCACAGTGCTTAATTGAATCAAAATCCATTGAAAATTACTAAGACATCATGTCAAGTATGTGAGGTTAAGATCAGAAAGGCTTATTTCCAGTGATACATCATTAGCTGCTTGTATGACATTTTGAGTAATAGCTCACATGACCTTATCTACCAAGGAACCTGTGTTTGAAAAACAAACCGAGTGGTTGGTTGTCAGGCACTGATAACAGAGTTAAACTTTTATCTCTTAGTAGCCATGAGAATTTTGCAAAAATATTCAAGAAAAGAAGGGAAAAGATGCATAGATTGTGGAGTTCTGCTTGCTGGCTTTATCTTCAGGTCTTTTTATATCTGACACAATGTGTAGCTTTTCCTTAAGAACATTGCTGTTAGTGCTGTTTAGGAATGCTGTCTCTTTGCAACTGTCCATCCTAATGTAGACTTTACTCCACTTCCTTAAACAATGTAAAAATTGAAGACTATTGCCTTAATACTTCAGGCATATGATAGGAGCTAAACTAGCAAGGGTGAAAAATGTTTATTTGGTGATATGAATTGTTTCATACATTTTCTTTCTTTTTTTAAAAAACAGGAATAGGTTATGCTTCCGTAGTGATTGTGACTCTCTTGAATGTATACTATATCGTCATCCTGGCTTGGGGATTGTACTATCTATTCCAGTCATTTTCTCACACTCTGCCATGGGCTCATTGTCAGCAAGAATGGAATACGGAAAACTGTGTGGAAGACACCCTCAGGAAGAACAAAACACTGTGGCTGTCGCTCAATGTCACTGAATTCACATCTCCTGTCACAGAGTTTTGGGAGTAAGCAAGTTTACTTGTTATTGTTTACAGCAAAGAGGCACAGATTACAAATTGCAAGAGACACAAATATATTAGGAAGCATGTGGTATTACTTAATCTTGTATGGGTGCACTATTTAGACATTACTAATTCATAGGTGAAGCAGTGATGGATAGCATTGGTAGTAAAGCATGTTGGAAGATATCATTCAACAACATTTGGAGGTTAACACATCTAATATCCAGGATAGTGTTTTTTTTCCCCTGAAGCCAGGTAGAATCTAAAACAACTCCTTTTCTATTTCAGTGTCCATACATGCATAGCATTTATGTTTAAAAAGCCTAAAGATAAATATTTTTTTCTATTTTCTATATCATACATGAATGTGTGAAGAAATTCAGTAAAATAAAGGTGAAGTCTGCATAGTTAGTGTTCCTTTCTAAGCCTCCTGTATTATAATAGAACAGAATGAAAAATAGAACAGACTAGACTTTATTATAGTCGTAGACCAACAATGAAAAGACTACCATAATACATTAGATAATCCTTAAACATCATGGCCCATAATAGGGCAGAGTTTACATAAAACGTAGGCATGCTGAGGGACCCAGAGTTGTCTTTTGTGGTCTACTGGATTATGTAAGCAAAGTAAGTCAGAATGCCTGGGGAATTTAGAGAGGAGATGGGACATCAGTTTTCCAGATAAGTGGCCAATTTGCATTTTGTGAACTAGTTGGGACAAGCTGCATAATCAATTGACCATCTACATCTAGAATCTTTTTCCTCAAAATTAAGTTCCCTTACTCTAACCCCAATGGGAAAGAACAGTTCAAGAAAAGCCATTGGCGAGTAATTTCCTGGAAATGACTTTTGTCCATGTGGAATCAAAACTATCTTCTGTAATTAAAGGGAGTGAATCCAGCTGGCATATTTAATAATTTCAGCCAAAAAGTAAAGATACTAAAATAAAGGCCAGATTCAATTCTAATGATGGCTGTTTCTTGCCAAAGCACCATATTTGGAGTATAGTGAGGAATCTGGAAAATATTTCTCAAACATTTGACTGGACTTGCCCTCTCATTTATATGGCCCAAATTAGTTTTAGTTATCAGCTTTGGGTTTTACGTGTAGGAAGCTAATTCAAGGCTACTTTTTGCATGTCACCTTTTGTTGTGCTAAGCCTTTGTTTATTTGAAACCAGGATGATCATTAGAAGCAACAGTGTTTTCAGGAGAAAGTTAAAACCAGCAGGGTGGCAAGCCAAGTTTTGTAATACAAGTCCAGTCCCATGTGCTACCCAGAGTTGCTTCCCAAACCCATCCTGGTATGAAAAATGTTGTGGGGGCCACTGGTGTAATTCACAATATACCCACTTTGAACCCATGGGTGGTATTTCATCTAAAGGACCACTAGATGGCAGCAAAAACAAAGTTGGACTAGAACTCCCAGTCTCCTGATTTCTAGACTGGTTCCTTAACCACTGGACAATCACAGTGAATCAGTCTAGAAATTAGGAGACTGGGAGTTCTAGTCCAACTTTGTTTTTGCTGTCATCTAGTGGTCCTCTAGATGAAATACCATCCATGGGCTTAAAGTGGGTATATTGTGAATTACACCAGTGGCCCCCACAACATTTTTCATACCAGGATGGGTTTGGGAAAAACGATTTTTACATGGACTGGCAGAGATGGATGGAGGATGGTTTCACATACTATCTATATCCCATGAATGTGCAGATGAAACCACGCTTGCTTGCTCAACCCAGTTCCTAACAGGCTGTGGTGCAAAACTGGTCCATGGATTCTGGGGTTGGGGACACCTGAATTACACTATTGATGACCAGGATAGACATGAATTACAGAAAATCATTGATTTGTTCTGTTATAATAATAAGAGTTAACAAAATACTTTACCTTTTGCATCAATTGAAATCTTCAGTAAAACTATAACTAACAGTAAAACTGAAACTATATAATGAATGCATACTTATCAATTAATCTGCATATTTGTACTCTTTTTAAAGCTACAATTAATTTATATAATTAATTTACATTGAAGAATAATTGTCCCCTTACAGATATGTAAAGTCTTCTCTTATTTGTTATTAACTCACTTGAAGTTTGTACATACAGGAGATAATAGTTCCATTTTATTAATAACATAATACTGGATGTTGTTGATGTTTGTATAGTAGAATTTAGGTGAGTTAGATTTATTGAAAAACTCACTTTTACATGCTAAGTGATGTAAATCATTGTAGCATTGATTATGCATCAGAGGCATAATAATTATAGTTTAGTATAACTAATGGCTTTTGCAAATTTCATGCTTGTTTGAGCATGAGTCATAAGGGATAAGCAAATGGGGCTTCATTTGTATAGATTCCTCTTGGGACTATATCATGTGATTATGTGCTTTAGTTTCTTAGTTATTCATTCTACCATTTCTGGTTATAAGCGTAGTATTGAAAAGATAAGAATGAGAAGAATATTGGTAAACTAAAGCTTGCACTGTTCACATGGTCAATCCAGGTTTTAAGAATTTCATAATTAAAATTTATGGATTTATTAAATATTGTGAGTTCATCACATTAGACATCCATCTAATAAACCAAAAGAAAACTAAGAAAAATCTGATCTTGAAAGCAGCCCTAATTTTTTTTAAAAAAAAATGTATTTGTATTTTTTTTCTCTTCAGAGCAATTTTTGCACAAAACCAGTTTAAGATAATTACTTCAGGGTTAATTAGAGTTGTAACTCAAGGACTACTTGTATATAAAGTTCATATATCCTAGAGAAGAGTGGTATTAAAAACTACAAATGTATATTAAGATGCAGTTGGGTATAAAAATACAATTTATAGCGAGAACAGAAGAGATCAATGCCAACACCATTACCACAATATTTGTCTTATCAAAGTCCAGCTTTTGAGCAAAACCAATGTTTGGTGATATATCTGTTGTCTTTTGTTTCTTTTAATCCTCCAGGCGGAATGTTCTGAAGTTGTCTTCAGGAATTGATGAACCTGGTGTTATCAAATGGGACCTGGCTCTTTGTCTTTTCCTTGTCTGGGTGATTTGTTTCTTTTGCATTTGGAAAGGTGTGAAGTCAACCGGGAAAGTAAGTTCCTGCTGCATTTCTGACAGGCGATAATGATTTTTTAAAAGAAAGATTAGCTTTGCTTAATTAAAGGCTTGACATGGTGTTTTCTTTAAGTAACGGATTCATGTAACTCTAAAACATCATCATCTTGAAAGAATTCTAATATAGCACTAAAGAGTGAATTTTGAGCCAAACATTTTAGCTGCTAAGCAGTATGTTCAGAAACTAATTTTAAACCTGAAGCAAATTTGGAATCTAAAATTCCCAACTTGTTGTCTAAGCAAGGGCTATGGTTCAACTATTTGAAACCTTTCAAGCATATTTCTAGTTTATTGCAGAGATTGGGAATGCAGCTTCTTATAGAAGCTCATAACTTTTAAAGTGCTTTCTAGAAGTCTTAACTTTTAATTCCCCCCATTCCTTTTAACATTTATTAATCAAATTTGTATAGCCACCTATCTCACAAAAAGCAACTCTGTTTTTATTCTAAAAGGCCATCTTTTATAATCGTGTATTAAAAGGATAATTGTACTTTTGCAAGAGAAAACATTACCAGATGGTAATTAGTTAATAGCTAGGTCTCTTTTTATCTTAAAAATATGCAAAAGAATGAAGTACAAAAATCTAGTTAAATTACCCAAAAATGCCTTAATATGCTGTCTTAATTTAAGCAGGGATCCCAGCATTTCATACAAATACTTGCTGAAAATATTTATCTTATGTTTATCTCAGTAATCTTTTGTGTTTAAATGGATTAGCTTGGCAATAGAATTGACTAATACAATGATTTTTTTTCTTGAATATAAGCCTCAATTCATCTTACTTCATGGTAGATACGTATAGAATTAGATTTCTGATGTCCAAAAATATAACAAAGGTGAAAGAAATGTGATTATCATTAAATATCTATGGAGAATCTCAGTCGTCCAGTTCATAATTGTCTCAAATGATAGCTGGACTGTTTTTTCCTTGAGAAAGAAGAAGACATTTTGCTTCTCATCTGAGAAACTTCATTGGTTACCATGACTACCATTAACCACCCTATCTATAGACTATGGTGATTTATCTAACTATGTATTAACAATGGGGAGGAATAATAAAATAAAATTTATTCATATGTTTATTAATTTTTTATGTGTACATTTCCCCTATAAGGTGGCTCTGAATTTTAATACTATTAAAAAATAAGATTAAGTGAAAGTTTTCTTTAAAAAATCGGGATGAACTTTTTGTATGATGATGCTTACAAATTAAATTCCTATTTTGAAACAGAAAACAATGAAATTATATAAGCATGTTGTACTTAGAGGTCAAACTGTCTGCAGGCTTGTTAGGTGCAGCAGGTATTGGTATCTGTTAATCTCATGAGGTTTATTTATGAGGCAGGGAGACAAACCTCAAGAGCTTTTATCTGGCTAAACCAGTTCCATGAAACAGAAGTATATTAAACTGAATAGCACAACTGTAATTACCAAATGGCATAATATGACCTTATTAAAAGAATAAAGGAAATTTGCTTTAAAAAGCCAATTTGAAATTAACTTCAAATTATATGGGTTAATGAAGATTTCCAAAGCCAGGCTTATACTTAATATTTTGCACTCTCTAGTCAGGAAGACACAAAGATGCCAACTGGTGGGATTCTTCTTAGGTGGTTAGTTACCTGTGGCTTTATGTCAAAACATTCTCAATGAATGATGCCATTGAAAGAGTTTCCTAAAAATCTACATATAATTGACTGCCACATCTCAGTTCTGATTTTGATTATGTGCCATCAAATTATAGTTGACTCCCCCCCCCCAAAAAAACCCTGGTCATTCAGCTCTTCCAATAGTAATTGTTTTAGCTGTCCTACTGTATCTGAGTCAGTAGTGAATTCTTATTTGTTGTGGTTTATTTGAACCTTCAGACCTGTATAACAACACCAACAATAATATACAACAACTATAAACTTAAATTTCATATTTATACAAATAAAAGAGTTTTTTCTATTTTTGCTATTTTACCTTTTATTACCAGGTTGTATACATAACAGCAACATTTCCATTCATCATGCTTTTTGTACTCTTAATCCGTGGTGTCACTTTACCTGGAGCTGCAGAGGGCATCAAATTTTATCTTTACCCTAACATCACTCGTCTGTCCGATCCAATGGTGAGTTGCTAAAAATAGGAGATACTGCTAATTTCTTCCCTATACTCTGGAACAAAATGTAAGGAGGGCAATGGGTTCATTCTGAAGATTTACTGATTACTTAACCAATCTATACTTAACTGAAATTTTCTATTATGGTTCAGTTTTCCATTTTATTTGTCAAAAAAAAAACCTATTATTAATATGTTAATGTATTTTCCATGTGTGTATATCTTTTTGTATCAAAAGGATTCTGAGGCTTGTAGACTCTATCCAAATATAGCATCTCAGCTTTTTTGTTGGTATTAGGCTGTGGACAAGGTAAGGGAAATAATTTGCTTCAGTCTTTAGTTAAATTCATGGAGCAGCAGAATGAACGTAAGAAGCACTTGTGAGTATTTGCAACTGTCCACTTAGAGGGATGTTCTCTGGGAGGGGTAGGTAAAGACCATATTATAACTACAGTGGGAAAATTTTTAAAAAAATGGCCCACTTGTTCTTTCTTATAAATGCTTGGAAAACAGTTTTTTTCCCCCCTAATGTACAGGAATCTAGATTGATTGTTTTTGTTTTACTATGTATGAACCTTTTCAACTCCTTACAGATTGCATGTTAAAAATGTGTTATAGGCAAGCCAGCTAGATTTCCTAAATCTAGGGAAATGCAAACCTGTCTATTCAAAAGAGAGAGAAAATGAAAGTATGAAGCAAGCAGAATCAAATTTAAGGATCCAAAGCAGCCTAAATGTTACAAGGCAAATGGAAATGCCATTGAGTACTGTCCATCTCTAGTGCTTTTGCAGCGTACTGAAGTTACGTAAGAACCACAAGGGTTCCTAAAAAAGCTGCTGCCTCTCTCTCCCTTTTAAAGGCTTGGGGCAATTCTGTATCAGTTTTGAATATCTGATTCTACATGGCTGCAGTAAGAAAAAACATCAAGGTTGGGAGAAATATAATCCTTTTAAAAGTATGGAGTCCATGAAATGCTAACCCGTTTTCAAATTTTGTTTTTTATAAATGTTCTATTTCTGTTTTGTTCTTTGCTCTTGTCTGCAAATGTGGGACTTTTTATTTATGTATATAAACTTATGCTCTTCTTTAAACTCTTTCCGCTTTGAGTTCATTTTCACACAATAATGTTGTAATATGCCACCGATCAACTTTGGTCAATGCAGTATGGTTATGTTGTTAGCAACTGCTGGTCTTATTGAATCAATACTTTGATGATAATGTTATTTTCAAAAGAAAAAAAGATTATGGGTTGCCTAATAGCTAGTACTAATACCAAACACCATCTTCTGAGCTTGTTGTTTTTCATGTTTTCCTTAGGTCTGGATAGATGCTGGCACACAGATCTTCTTCTCCTATGCAATCTGCTTAGGTGCAATGACTTCCTTGGGGAGCTACAATAAATACAAATACAACTGTTACAGGCAAGTTTCCTACCAAAGGGGATTAGTCTGTTAGCTAATTGATGTGTAAGGAACCATGGGTTCAAATTTTTCTTTAATTAATTTCCTCCATGACATATGTGTGACATAGGGACTGTTTGCTGCTGGGATGCCTGAACAGTGGTACCAGTTTTGTGTCTGGCTTCGCAATTTTTTCCGTCCTGGGCTTCATGGCACAAGAGCAAGGGGTGGACATTGCTGATGTAGCAGAGTCAGGTACGATGGTATTGGTGGCAGTGATGGTGGGCACTGCCATCCAGTGTGTGAGCAAAGTTCGACAAGCTAAATCATCCCAAAACTCAAAGGAGAAAAAGATTAAAAATAAAAGGTATTTCAACAAACAAAGTAATGATTTATTTCAGTGAGCAATACAGTTGGAAATGCACTTTTTAAAAATGTGCTGAAATATAATACGGGCTTTGAACGCTCAGGACTAAATCAGAATTACAGGAAATGTCAATACTGTATCAAGAGTTGACCCTTTGGGGTTTACTCTGCCTTAGCTTCAATGAATTCTCTAATAGGCATCAGTCTACAATCTTCATGGACTCACCATTTTATTCAAAACTACGCTAGAAAATCTGAGTTGTGGCTTTTGGAAGTGCAGCTTATATATTTTTACACAAAACATTGATGGAATTGATGAAGTTTGTAACAAAGTGGCTCAAAATACGAGTGGGAGGGAAACAATAATCTTCCCTGTCACACCTCACCTGGACTTCCAGTATGTGAAGTTAGATTAGCCAGTCCGTCTTCCCCAGTTACAGTACTGTATCTATGTGTCTAAGGCAATGTGCCATGCATATTTCCAGATGTGGAAGTCATACAGAGATTTTTTTCTTTTGATTTGTGTTTGTAAAATATTTTAAAGCTAAGCCTTTTGTTTTCGGAAAGGATAGGTCCCTGCTTATTTCTTTTGAACAAAGCATGCAAATTTTTTTGGACTTCCCTAGTGCACTTGCACAGTTGACATTAAGACATGCTGGACCAGATGCTCAGTTTATTACAAGTCTATACAATCTACTGAAATCTATAGTGCTAAGACTCACTGACAGCAATTCAGGCACATGAGTAACTGGTAAAAAGTGACTTTCAGAATTGGAGAGATTTTTATTGACCGTCATGGTTACTGCCCAAGTTATGTATTTTATTTATCTGCCTGTTACAGATTTGCAAGAGTCTTAATTGCTTAAAAAGGTATAAATGTGAATCAGCCATTTAAAGGCTGCATCTAATATCTAACATAATGTACAGCTAAACTGCCAGGAAAAAAGTTTCCGGGGCAAGTACTGTGTGGAAAGCAACTCCATACTATGTTGTGTAACAAATTGGTTTATCTTCCTGTGCCATGTCATTGGTAAAGGAATGGCAGTAAGAATTGTATACTTAATTCAAATTTGTATTTCTGCTGTAATTATATATATTTCTTAGGGCTCTTCGTGTTTTGAAAACGGTGCGGGCCTAGCACAGCACTTCTCTGCTCTGTCTTAAAGCTGCCTGACCTTTCTCAGGGTTCCTCATGAGAGATGCTGCTCTTGCTGCTGCTTAAAGAAGCCACTCAAGGAGGGTCATGTTTTCTCCCCAAGCTGGCACCAAAGTCAGGCTGCTTTAATGAATAATAAAGAAGTGATGCACACCTCTGATATTCAATCCTGGAAAATGTGGGAGCTTGCTGTGGCTGTTAATGTACTTTAAACTTCAATACAATACAAAGCTAGGTTTACTTAACTCTATTGATTTCAGTTAGTTTACACATTCTTAAGGCAACAGTCCTGTGCAGTCTAACCCGGGACTAAGCCATTCTGGACACAGTAAGACTTAATTCTGAGTAAGCATGCATATAGGATTATGCTATGACTCTGGAATGGCAGCCTTTGTTTCTGAAATTTTGCATGCCTTATTCAACCATCCCACTGAAAATGATTTCTATGAAGAAGGACCAAGGCTATATTGATAACTATATTAAATGAGGCCATTAGTTTCAATGGAACTTAGTGTTACACAGGATTTCAACTAAAACAGCTTAATGAAAGAATACACTCTAGAATAAATAAGTGAATAATAAAATTTAATAACCTTATGTGAGAACTGGGTCATCTTAGTTATGAATCCAGGGTACTGGAACTCTTTGGCTCTAAGATATTTCCACAGATGTATAGATGGAATGTCAAATTTTTAAAAGGATTTTGTCAAACTGCGTATTTATTGGATCACAGAAGAAAATAATGACCATTTGTTTATTTATTTATTTATTTATTTCTGAAATTTATATGCTGCCCAGTCCCAAGGGACTCAGGGTGGCGTACAAAATTAAAACAATAATATGACAATAAAACAATAAAATAAATACATTCATACAGCGTGTCCGATCATATCCCCCCCCCCCGGGGACATCAGCCCCAGGCCTGCCGGAACAGGAGAGTTTTAATGGCTTTCTTAAAGGCCAGCAGGGTGGGAGTAGTTCGAACCTCGGGGGGAAGTTGATTCCACCAGGTCGGAGCTACCACAGAAAAGGCCCTTCCCCGAGGGCCCGCCAGCCGACATTGTCTGGCCAACGGGACCTGAAGGAGGCCCAATCTGTGATCTTTCATCCAGCAAAATATTTATGATTACCTTAACAATGCATAATGCAAGCAGGATTGGGCCCCAAAGTTTCAATCTAAAGAAAGTGAATTGAATCGCTTTCTATTAGAATCAATGGGATAGCTGTAGTTAGTTTAAGGCTTATTCATTTAACTGAGGAAATTGCTGTTAATATATTCTAGGCAGTAAGTTTTTAGCATATTTTTGCAAAATATATATTTTGTTAAACTGAATGGAAAATAGAAGGTGGCAAAAGCATACCTGGTGATGGCCAGGTACTAATTCATAGGGCATAATTTCCAGTTTAAAATATGGAAGAAAAGCAAAAGAACAATAAATAGAAATATCTTAGTCCAATTTAAACAAAAAGCTTGCATGAAAAGTGTTGGTACAGTATTTTCCCATTATGGCCAAAGTATCAGTGTTAAATAAATGCAAGCATATTTCAACTCTTTATTGTACCTGAATTAAAGGGCCCCAATATAAAATGATAATTATCTCACATAACTTTTAGAGAATTGTGGCTGTTTGGGGCTTTTATTGAATAATCCACAAAGAAAGCAATAAAAAATATACTATTGACTTTGCTGTTAATAATCTTACCTGAAGGACAGTTTTTCAGATAGTATTTGTTGCTTTGTATCCTAAGCAAATAATACTCACTGACTATGTTAGATATCTGCAAATGGGTTTATTATTGCTGTATTGAGAGAACTTAACTAATGTCATTTAGCAGACAATTGTAACCAAGGATGGATTCTATTTGGAATATTCTCCCAAGCCATTACTGTCTTCTAATAGAAGCTGTTACATTATTTCCTTTGTTTCTATTTTTAAACACAGTATTTTGTGATATTAATAGAATTCTGGAGTTTTACACAACTTCAGGATCTGGCCTTCTCTGGCGTAAATCCTAGAAACTACTATTAGGGTTTTGTTTGTCCAAGGAAAAGGTTGTGCATGAATAACCCAAGAGAAAATTAAGAGCTGAGGCTTTTTTTTCTCCTTAAAGATCATAGAAATTAGTCATGTAATAATTATATCTCATTTAGTTCATAAGCTCTCTTTGTGAATGAAGCGTGCTGGGTTCTGCTTTTTTTTTTTTTTCCATTTACCTTTTAGATTGGAGCTGTTATAGCTATGCATGCTTCTTTGTCAGATAGAATGAATTCCTTTCTGGAATCTTGAGTTGGGTTTGGGTTTATCTGAATGGAATCGGCCAATTTATGAGGAGTGAGGGGAGGTTTTCGTTCAGAAATGAATTAAGTATTTACTACATTGTCTCCCTTTTCCCCCTTCCTTTCTTTCTCTCTTTATTCCTCTAGGTCCAGGTCTGGCCTTCATTGCGTATCCAAAAGCTGTGTCCATGATGCCACTGCCAACTTTTTGGGCTATTCTTTTCTTTGTTATGCTTCTGTTGCTTGGCCTGGACAGCCAGGTGAGTAAGTGGTAGTAAATGTAATATTTATGGCTTTTAATAGGAAAAACTGTACATAAATATAATTATTATTATATTTTTTTGTTCTGAAGTGTTGATCCAAAGAAGAATCGCTTGTCTTTCTTCCTATTAAGATTAATCAAGAAAAGTGACAATGTTATTCATTTAACTGCCTCTGATCATGAAATTTCAGCATAGGTTTTATAATGGGAATCCTCAAAACCTCTTGAAATGGGAGACACTAGTGGAATTCTGAGCATTTGGGGGGGGTGATTACAAAATGACTATAGGCAGACGCACAAAATGCCTGCTACAAGGCACATCAGTTAATTTCCAAATGCTTACCGGGGGGGGGGGGAGACCAGTTACAAAATACTGGTTTAATATAAAGGTGCCTACTAAGCTCTCTAGTTTTTGCCTCTGCTTAGAGCAAGCATACTGGCATGTCTTTATTTACCTCTTTTAACTCTACTTATTTCTGCCCTTTGTTGGGACAATTGATGCAGCTTCAAAACAAAGTGTTAAAGCTATAAATAATAACATTGGAAATATGATATTGGAAGCTGAAACTTTATTTTACTATTTCCTCCCTCCCTCTCACCCTCTCGTTCATATTAATGCATATAAATATAATTAAAATAATCTAAACTTTAGAAAAAGGCACAGAAGGTGTCAAATCCAACAGGGTGTCACACTGGGGATTCTACCTCCACAACATAGATTTTATTACTGCATATTTTGTAATGTATACCCCTATTTATTTATAAAAAAGATACTTTTATAAAACTATTAAAGGACAGACTAAGCCTGAAAAGTGCCACATACATTGGAATGTACAGACACATACACAGTAATTTCTTCCTCCCCTTCTCCAAGTCTATCAGTCTGTCACAAATGTGCTTATTTCTCATACTCTTGTCACTTCCTTGGTTCATTCCTGCCTTTATGTATTTTGCTTCTTAAAATGTTTAGGTAAATCCAATGGAATAGGAATAAAATTCAGAGTAAAAATGGAGGCGTGCCCAGGTTGCTCTTTCTTCTCGTAGCCATTTAATTCAAAGGCCTTGATTATATGTGAATCCATATGCACTGGATATTTTTGCCTGTCCTCAACAATATGTTTTCTGGGAGACTGACTTCTCAAGGCCTTTTTATGTAACACAAAGAAATCTGTTAATAATCTCCAGACTATTACAAGTCACACAGCTGTCCTAGGATTTTAGAGAGGACATCTTTGAAATAATGGCTTAAGATTTTAAACCAACAAACTCCTAATTGTTATTTGGGAAAATAGTTAAAATGTTGCATTAATCTACTAGCCTGGGGCAGAAACTTTATTGAATTCAAAACCTCTCATATGGTGGAGATTAGAAGAGTTTCCCTTCTGGTTGTTGTTTACTTAATCTCATAATTTGGCAAAGCATTTCATTTGTTCTAAATGGTTCTTGGGGGTTTAATCTTTGAATGCCAGTGAGTGACTTTTAATCACTTCCAAATTGAATGTTCAGACATCCTCAGAGCTGTGGTTCTGCAACCAAGTACTTATGTAAATTAAAGGTTGCCTGGTAATGTTCAGTCATTTCAGTTCAGGCTCACTGTGTCAAATAATTAAAGCTAATTGGAGCACTTAATGTTTTGTTTGCTTTTGGAGCCATGTCAAGCTGGATTTTGGAATGCTACAGCAGCTTAGGAACAAACTGGATACAGTTACATGGCAGGAGAAAAAGAAAAATCAGAATTTCTTAAGGGCTAAAATCCCAGATTTCTAAGGATTATTAAGAAGCCATACAAAGCCAAATGTTGATTGGCTGTAGAAGCAAATATGAAATTAAGGACAATAAGGGAATATGCTCACTGTAATGAAATAATAGACAAAAAATACAAGTTATGGAAGAATGTCAGCTCACAGAAGCATTTTAGAACTGCCTCTATGTGATATTTGCTTACTTTTAAAAATGTAATACTAAACTTCTCTCTGTAAAGTGTGATTTATTATTAAATTACTTACATGAATAGAACATTTACTAAAAAAAGAATCACAAATCTCTGTTGGGTTCTTTTTACTTAGTATACAAAGATGGTTTATTTTTACTAACTGAACCACAAAACAAGACAAAAGCTAAAAGATTACAGATTTTAAAAGGGAAGGGGTTTTCTTTTTTAAAAAAGGGATTGTATAATGCTTGCATGTGTATTTATATCGGGTGAGCATTTTGAGCATCTATATTCCATACTTCTACCTAGTGCTAACTTTTATTTTTCTAATAATGGCTTTTGTTGTTATTGCCCATCTTGCTTTGTTTTTATATTAATATATCATAGCTCTATTTTATTAAACATTAATATAGTTAATTAGAAGAGTAGAACAACTAGAAATATCTTAAGATTTTAATAGGTTTGGATTTACAAAGAGTGTATATATGAAGTGTTTGTACAGCTAGTCATCTATTTATAACCAATTGTTTAGTGACCATTCAAAGTTACAACACTGAAAAAAGTGACTTTTGACCCTTTTTCACACTCTTGACCATTGCAACATCCCCATGGCCATGTGATCAAAATTCAGACATTTGGCAACTGGCATGCATTTATGATGTTTGCAGTGTCCTGGGGTCATATGATCACCTTTTACAAACTTCTGACAAGCAAAGTCAGTTTGGAAGCCAGATTCACTTAACAACTGCAGTGATTCACTTAACAACTGTGGCAAGAAAGGTCATAAAATGGGGGCAAAACTCATTTAACAGCTGTCTTGTTTAGCAATGGAAATTTTAGGCTCAATTGTGTTTGTAAGTAGCCCTAAAATTTTCCCTTAATTTAACATCTCATCATGATTTATATTATATTTTTAGCAGGGAAAATGGAAGCCAGCTTTCTTAAATGTACAGTTGAAAGGGACAGATGAAAATAAGGGAGCTTTTCATAGGACTTCTTTTTTGAGGATGTCTGATTCATGCTAGAAGGAAATAAGAGGATAGAAATATTTTTCTGTTAAGAAATTATGAAAACCCACTGTCATGCAGACACTACATGGAAAACAGTTTATCAAGTTCCTTCCAAGAATTACTTGGTTTTTCCCTGGAGACTCTACAAACAGACCTATCTCTTTACTATCTTATTTCTCCTTTTGTTCATAAGTTTTATGCTTGCAGTAACTGAACACACATCTAATTAGGTCACAGTGTTTCTCAGCCTTGACCATTTTAAGGCATGTGGACTTCAACTCCTAGAATTCCACAGCCAGCATTGCTGGCTGTGGAATTCTGGGAGTTGAAGTCCACATGCCTTAAAATGGTCAAGGTTGAGAAACACTGAATTAGGAGGTGAAAGGGAAATCAGTAATCCCACGAAGAGCTTATTATCAGCTCCAGTCTTGAATATAGAAACATAGTATATACAGTGCTATGTTAATAAATGGTGAATACTAACTTTTTTACAAGAGATATATTTTTACACAAGAATAAAATAATACATTGCATTACCCCACTCATTTTTTATTCTCCCCTACAGTTTGTTGAAGTTGAAGGGCAGATCACATCGTTAGTTGATCTGTACCCATCCTTCCTAAGGAAGGGTTACCGACGGGAAATCTTCATCGCTATAATCTGTTTCCTCAGCTATCTTCTGGGACTAGCTATGGTGACTGAAGTAAGTAATTGGCTGGTGTTGCTTTTCTTCTTCTTCTTCTACTCAAAGAAGTTACAGTGCAAGGCTGTCATCCTAGTGTAATGGTAAAACAAGTGCTTTGCATAGGGAAGCTGCCAGGAGATGCTCCTTGCCATCTTTATTTAAAATGATTAGGTGTTGTGAAACACATATTCTGCCGCAAAAAACCTGGAGAGCTTCTGCCCAAATAAACAGGAGAAAGAAAAAGAAGGCTTCAGAGAATTATTCTGCAAACAATTTAAGCCCCTCTGTACGGTCTTCTAAATTTAGCACATGTTTCAGCCTAGATTCGTGACGCTTCAAATTTTATAGTGTCACTCTGCTATGATGAAGCATTCTATTTCTGCAAAACTGTGCTCAACTGGGCAATATGCTACATTCTTGTGTGTGAGGTAAGAGATATGAAAAGAAGCTAATTAAACATAAAACATGAAAAATGATGGCTCTCTCATATTCAGAATGTTGTAACTAGGCATTCTCGATAATGTCATGCATGAAAGAAAATAACATGATTTAGGAAAAGAAATCCATCATCCTTATATTGGGCAACTTTTGGTGAGTTTTACCTAAGTATTATATTCAAGACTTCAATTGTCTTCAAGACTCAGTTCCTTCCTTCTATCATGTTTCTATAAATGGTGCCCTAAAAAAACACAGTTTAAGCAGCAGTATTAGAATGGTGTTAGTCAAGTGGCTTAATTTTATTTAGTCATTGTCTCTTTCAAAATGCCTTCTAGAATAAAGAAAGAGTGCAGGTTTTAGGAAACACATGAGTGTATACTTTTTGATGTCCAAAGAGTTGACTAGTAATTGTATTTGCTGGCAGGAAATTTTGTGAATAGTGAGTTAAAGATATGTCACTTTATTTTTTTACAATGAATGTTTCTTGTGTATCTTTGTGTTGGTATATTAATACCAATCGGGGTTCATTTTGTCCTTTTTCAGGGTGGCATGTATGTGTTTCAACTCTTTGACTACTATGCAGCTAGTGGTGTATGCCTTTTGTGGGTCGCATTCTTTGAATGCATTGCTGTAGCCTGGGTTTATGGTAAGTTGGGAATTAAGTTCTGATCTGACCATTTCCACACAGCAGCATTGAAAGCTACAGGGATCTTGCAACACTGTAGTATATTTATTAGAGTCAAACAGAATTAAAGGACAGAGAGATGAAACGTTACAGGCCAAGGAAGGAATTTATTACATGGCTTCTCTGCATAGTGGGGATTCAGCCAAGTACTTCAAAATTCTTGGAAAACATTCTCACTTGACCTTCAAGAACTGAGTTCATTGCTTTCCTCTTTCTTGTAATGCTTCATTTTAAGGCTGTAAAAGTCCACCTCGCCATCTGAAGTCATAAAAGGACAGATTTTAGGGGCCAAGAACTACAGTGTTTTTTTCCCCTATTGCTTTTATCTGCTTGGTACAAAGAATAAAGCATCTATAGAACAATTTAAGTAGCAATGCCGTAAACACTGGCTGTATGATGCCATCATTTTTATTTCACAATATCTGGTTAGTTGTATCAACTGCACAAGGAGATAAATAAAGGAAGTCCTTTCCAAATTTAAGAAGATCAAAGCTCAGGAGAACAAAGGTATAGAAGACAAAGCAAAAAAATAAAGGCTTTCAGGAAGCTTTTCACACTCCCAACATAGTAAATGCATTTCTCCTTGAAAATCTAGCGTAGCTGTAGAGCAGACATGTCAAACACAAGGCCCAGGGGCCGGATGTGGCCCGCAAAGTGGTTTCATGTGGCCCAAGAAGCCATTCTAGAAACAGTGAGAGAACAGCCACTGCTGCCTTGGCCCTGGTCCAGGCTGGCCGGGAGCCAATGTACAATTTTGTGGTGGTCATGTTGGCACTCGCTCTGGTGGGCCATGCCTTGGCACTTGCCCCGGTCCCACCCCCTTCTGCCCAAGACCCTCAGATCTGTCCCACTCCTGCCCAGGCCCCCATAGGCACCCTTGACATAAATGATGTAGAACTGGCCACGCCCACCCAGTAGGCCACACCCACTCCACACCCACCCAGTAGGCTGCACCCACTCTGGCCACACACCCCCACCCCCCCTAGGACAACTGCAATGCTGATGCGGCCCTCAGTGAAATTGAGTTTGATACCCCTGCTGTAGAGTATACATAGGCAGAATATGCAGAGTAATACAATTTCTTTCTTCTGTGTTGAAACTCTAGGCGCTGACAATTTTTACGATGCCATTGAAGATATGATTGGTTACAGGCCTGGTCCTTGGATGAAGTGGAGTTGGATTTTAATCACACCAGTTCTCTGCGTGGTAAGGATGGACATGTCTTTGCCTACACTTGATTTAGAACATTTTTGTGAGTCTAGTTAGCTTTTTGCTCCTTGCATTGTCTGAAAAGAAATAAGATTGAATAGATAAGTGTTTAATGAGTAATGTGTCTAATGTGTAAGCTCTTCATTGATTACAAGATTTTTACTGACCTGTAACTGGCTTCTATAGCTGACATGTTACCTTTATCATTAAAGGAACAATTTTGAGGTGAAGGATGGGTTCATATAACATTTTGAAAACGTGTAGTTAATAGCATCCATACTGAATGTTTGTGTGGGCATTGTTTAATTTACAAATTGGTTACCACTGTGATGGTGGCCAATGACAGCAGTATTGCACAGTCTAACTCTGCCCACAACCTGGAGTTTGTTCCTGATGGGTTCAAGGCTGACTCAATCTTCCATCCATCTGAGGCCGGTAAAATGAGGATCCAGATTGTTGGGAGCAATAGGCTGACATTGTAAACTGCCCAGGGAGTGTTGTAAAGCACTATGGGGGAGTGTATAAGTCTAAATGCTATTGCTATTGCTATTTTTGTCTTTTTATTTCTGGATATGCTGGCCATTTCCAAACAAAATACTGGACCATGGCTACCTACTATTTTTTTCTAAAAACACCTAAGAAACTGAGATGTATTTGAAACTAAGGAACCTATGTGGAATGAAGAGTGTCTGACACTTTCCATGCTTGAATTAAAAGAATCTTCTGAAATAGTCAGATGTGGCAGAGTCTGTGCCCACAGATCCCAAGTCACCTGTCTATTAAAATCTTGAAAGACCCTTTTTTGAACCAGTTTTTCTTTGGAGGTAAAGCAAATAGCCGCCAGAATAGTGAGCATCCACATGGTGAAAGTCCCTTCCCAATACATTTTCCCTCTCTATTCATTATATTTGAGAAGTAAACAAAACCCATTGATTTTAAGTAGGAATGCCCAACCATCCCATTATTCTCCTCTCCAAAGCTGAGAAAATAGTTCATTTGTAAAAAGGTGTTGGAGGACTGCAAGGCCTTCCCTGCTGTCCCTGCTATCACCTAACTGAAAAATATACTATGTGAGAGGGCAAAAGGTAGACACAGCAATCAATGCATCATAAGCTCTTCCAAAGCTGGAGAGTGGGTTTTGAAAGAGCCTGCTGTGGGCAAGGATTATATGAATGGCAAGGACATCTGGAAATTTGAATTTAATCCTCATGGGAGGAAACAGTCTATCGTGGCTGTTATAAGGTAGCTTGTCTTACAGTAAATTGGTACTTTAGTTGGTGAAAACCACAGTGGTAGCCATTTTTAAAATGCAAAAGTATCCACAAGGTTCTTCTGTCAGAATGCCAACTACAAGCTCTCGAAATTGTGATTGTAGCCACTGGACCAAAAATGTACAGTGGTAGCTGGAAAAGAAATGGGGGAGGGGGTTCATTGTTGATTAGAAATTAAGGTAACAGCTGCATACGAGACACTTTGCAAGCAAGAACCTGTATCAAGCTTTCAGTGCCATCACTAATTCTTTTTGCGATAATTCAGAGATTCTTTTAATTGCATGTTTTAATCATCTCACTGATGGCTGAGTTGTTAACCAGCTGTTAACTAAAATGGCAGCATATTTTTTAACAGCTATAAAGCTGTTTGTGGAAAAGATGTCCTGCGTGTGTGTAAAGATTGCATTTGAGAAGAGTTGTAAACTTCTGTTTTTAAAGACATTGGCATTTGTGGAGCCTCAGTATTTTTTTTTAAGTCAGTCAGGCATCAGACTTATGCATATTTGTCAAAAACATCCTTTGCCCCAAATACAATAACTAGAACAGCTGACTAGATCGGGTGACATGTTATGCAACTCAAGGTAAAACAAATAAGCAGTGTTATGGACATATAAAAGACCTTTCTTCTTTGTGGTGTGTGGTAACACTACTCAAGTTAATTTTCATACTTTATTGCACACCATAATTATTTATACTTGCTGTGAAACTTGAATATTGAAGGAACCAGGAAAACAAAACTGGCTCAGCTAACTTTTTGTTTGAAATTCCTGTAGCATAACCCTGAGGTTTTTAAAGTACAATTTTATGGATATTTTCTTTCCTCATTTAAAGATTAATTCATTCCTAAACTTTTGTAAGAATTAGGGAGGTAAGTTCAGAGGCCCAAGACTTTAAGAAATACTGCCAACACTACCAAAGTAAAACGACTATGAAGACTTAGGAATCAAAAAGAGACCCCTCCCCCCCAAAACCCGTCTGTCCTTGAAAAAAAAAGTTTATTGTCAGTTTCATTTTCCTTTCATTAGACTAATCACAGATAATGCAAATCAAAGCTGGGTAAGTCTTAATAATATTTGGGAACTAAGGCCACAATAGATACGTAATGAAGTGAGGGGGGAGGAGCCAAGATTTTATACTTTTCCTTGGGTTTTAAGGACTTTTTTTAAGAATGGCATTTGGATTATTTTAGAGTTTTACATTATCGTTCACATTTTGCCCTCTAAAAATTCTGTTGATTTCAACAATCACAATTAAAAAGGCTCCAGGGAGCTCCCACAAGGTGTTTGGTGATTCATTCCACTATATAAATTGTTGTTTGAAGAAAGCATTGTTTCATGTGCTTCAATCTCTTTGCTTTATTTTTTCCTCTGACACACAGGGGTGCTTCATATTTTCTCTAGTCAAGTATACCCCTCTGACCTACAATAAGGTCTACATCTACCCTACGTGGGCAATCGGTCTGGGTTGGATACTTGCTCTTTCATCTATGATCTGCATCCCATTGGTTACAGTTATCCGTATCCTGCAGTCAGATGGCTCTCTCCTTGAGGTAAATCCAAAACAACTATCAACTACCAGAACTTTTAAGCATTCAAACAGATGATTTTCTTTGCAGCGGTCTTTCTGATCCCTTAACACAGCAGTTCATCCAGGGCCGGCATGTAATTTCTACACCTACAAATATGTTCTCAGTCATTCATTTCAGCAGATGTGGTTATTGTACAGGCACTGTTTTGATACATTTTTAGTTTGTTTCTCTATTGAACAGAACAAGATTCGATAACATTTTGAACATCTGTCTTTTGATCATATTCACTTATTAGAAAAGATTGCTGAAACAAATTCAGCAACTGGTTGGTTGTAAAATGGAATATAGACAGGAGAGTTTAAACATTGGTATGATGCTAAATAACAAATTAGATTCGTATCACTAGAATTGTAAACCTTCTATCCCAGATTATTTTCCTAAAGCAGAGACTTTCAACTTTTTCAGCGCTAATAGTGCCTATGTCTTCAGCGAGGAAATGTCTATTATTATTTTTTTTGAAAACCTGTCTTTGAATAGTAGCATACCATAGCAAGTCACTCCCAAGGCAGAACCATGATCTAGAACTTGATCCCTATCCAGTAATCAGTGTGCTTCGCATAGCTTTTGTACTATATCATATTTTCTCATATAAAGAAGATTACATAAAAAGTACTATGAGTACATAGTATCATAAAATCAATGTGCAAAAAAAAAGTATATACAGTTATATAGAAGCTAATCATTTATTTGCTTTCTATGTTCTGGAGCCAGTTTGTATCCTTTCAGCTTCATGAACAACATTTTCTTCAAAAGTGGTTTGCCCTTGGCTGAGAAAGAGGGACTGATCCAAAGTCACCCAGCTGGTTTCCCACCTAGGGCTGGACTGGAAATCACAGACTCCCAGTTTCTAGCCTGGAGGCCTTAAACCACCATACCAGATTGACTCCTTTATATAGAAGCTATTCATTGCCATGAAGTCACAGAAAAGTTAGGATAAATTTTGATAGTAGATTTCAAAAAGATTTCCAAGATCAGGAAGTCCTATGGTATTTTCGGGTAACACACATCTCTCCTTATGCACACTCCATAAAAGTTGCACATTTCATTTGTATCATGCACAGAGTGGAAGGAGCTGATTTCATTAGATGGGGAGCCATCTAGTGGAAATTTAACCTCCTTCCTTGCATTATTTTCCTAACTGGCCTCCCCGTTTATATTACTGTACACTTTCCTAATGATAAGATCAGCTTTCTCATCCTAGCCTGGTAAGGGGGTAGACAGTGGCTTCTGGGATCAAACCATATCCAATTGGGATCAAACCATATCCAATTGCCAACCTCTATAAATATAGTGCTTGATAATGGTCACACTTTGGTTTGACTAACCATCTGAATCAGAATCCTACTACTGTTTGAAGTATGTGATTATAAACTAAGGAAAGCTGCTTATCCAACCTCTTGCTCTATTTCCCCAATGGACAGTCAGTCTATTGGACATTCATAAAGAAAACAATTTGAAAATAGTAATTTTAATCAAACTGAAATGGTACTTCTTGACTTGCAAGGAAGGATAACAATCTCATATTCTATTGCATGGTAAATAGCTGTCATATTTAATAATATGTACGGTACTTTTTGGAATGGAACATCAGTGTGCAGCTTACTAAAGCAGCCATATCTTTTTCATGGCTGTCTGAATTTGGAAAAAGCAACAGCCAATAACTACTGTGTTTAAACTTTGCTACATTCCTAAGTACCTCTTCCTATTGAATCCAAAATAGGTAACATCTTGACTATTTAATATAGACTTAGCCTCCATAAATTTGGAAGTCTCTTCATTTCCATGTACGCTTTTCTCCCTAGAGGGTGAAGACAATGGCTGCTCCTCGTGAGATCACGCGGTGGGACAAAGAAGCCGAGGTTGCTGCCACGTTCGGCCCTCCTGGCCTGGTCAACGGAGAACTGGTCAAGAAGCCAAGTCATGTCATCGTGGAGACAACAATGTGAGCTCTCTCTATGAGAGGAGGACACCTGCTTTAAAACTGCTGTTTACTAACCATAGAATCTTTCATAGGACCAGGTTTACAGAGCTTTATATTTGCACTAGGGTTATTTTTATTTCTCATAGAGAAAGTAATTTTTTGTGTGTTTGGTTTTTATTTTTTAATATTTTGTAAAGTAAATCACAGCAGATGGCTGTCCTGCTCTATTTAGAAACAGAGCTTTCGTATCAAATTAGGCACACTGCAGGAATTTATCTTCTGTTTTCCACATAGCATATCTAACTAACTTTTATTCATACTGCTACGTTACTATTTTTAGTTGATATTTCTTGCCAACAGTATACCCAGGCGCAATCCTATGCAACACTGTCTTGCAAATACGCCTCAATGAACATAATGGGACTTAGTTCTGAGTAGACATATGTAGGATTGCGCTGATACGTATGCATACATGTGCACATATACAAGCTTTAGATTTCTCTGAGTGTTGATGTGGTTGGGAACAGGGTAGTGCAAAATTTCATTTTGGACTTTTTTTAACCAAAAAAAAAAAGCTCTGGCATTTTAGAAACTGGTTTTTAATTAACGGTGTGGCACTATCTTCTTCTGGTAGAAGCAGGTAGAATTAAAGGAAAAGTACATGTTTTTATGTTGCTGTGAGCCATGTGGGAATGTATTTATGTGATAATTGGAAGCTGCAATATTGTAGCTGCAATTGTTGTATGCCACCCAAAGTAATTTTTTTTATGAGATGGGCGGCCATGTAAATTTGATAAATGAATAAATATAAGAGGGAGTTGGAACCAGGGGAATAATCTGAGCAGCTTGTGAACAGGCTCTAAGAAGTTGGCAGAATCATTCTTGCTGGAAAGCATTTTAACTGATAATCTTTTGGAAGAATTGATTCTACATTCATAAGAAATTTCTATGCAGACTTAAATACAGATTGGAGTACGGTTGAGTTTCTTTTAGATTTAAAGAGTTGATGTAAAATGCTGGTAAGCCTGAATCTGTCACCTAGTGTTATCTCACTCTTAGACAGAAATGTAAATTTGACAGTGTAATCATATAACTAAAGAATATATAAACTGGCCCATTGTTGTATTCTGCACCTGAGAAATAAGTCATTTGGACTTTGATTTTGTTAGAACATTAAGTTAGTGTCAGAAAACCCTTTACATAATGCTACATTTACAAAGATGCTGCAAATCATATTTAAAGTCATACATTTGCCAAACTTTATCTTTGTTAGAACGAAAAAAGGAGTGGTGGGCCTGTATCGTACCAGTCAGCTAAGTTGCATAGTGTTGAGTGCAGATGCAGAAAAAAGTCCACTAGAACCTATTGATGAAGCTACTGAAACAAGAAAGCACAGAAAGAAAAAGGAGAAAGAGAAAGAGTAAATAGACTGATATTCACAGGGTTAAACTGACATTTATATCCATTGATCCAAGGAAACACAAGAAGATCAAGTAAGTTATACATTTATTTTAGACTGAACGGAAGTTTTATTGGCAAGTTAAGTTCCCCACTTTTTCCAGAATGAGGTTTTGCCTCTGGAAAACTCACCCCAAATCCTGCAGAACGTTTGTTTTCAACCTTCATTGAGTAGTGGCTCAATCCTTTTCCATATGGGCATTGATCTTGGGGGAAGAGTGCCCCCTTTAAGCTTTATATTGGTAATAAACACAATTTGAGCAGGATTGTGAGCCAGAAATCGCAAAATCCCTTTCTTTTGTAATCTCTGCTGATTTTTTCTGTCAGTGACAGAAACTGTAGTTGAAACTGGAACTTAGCCAGTGTTTGAAAACATTCCTATATGCTTTAAGAAAAGAAAGAAATTAAGAATCAGTTTGTGTCTTATGCTGTCTATGGCCACTGCATATGTATTATGCACATACTTGTTATGTTAGGTTTTATATATATACATATATAAACACTATAAATAAAGGACCAAAACAGTTATTTCAGGTGTCTTGTTTAGCTAATATATGTTTGTGGATGGAATCTGTGATTTATTTTATTTGAGGGAACACAGCTTGCAGTATATGCAGGTGGCCATGAATGGAAATGCTTTGCTTTCTTGTTACCAAGAGCTGATAAGTAAACACTTCCAGAGTACAAACCCTTTGGAAATTGTTTATCTTCCTACTGTACTGAAAAATGGCCAGTAAAAAGGTTAGTTACAAAATAAGCAAGGAAGCCAAGAGAAAGCTACTGTTTGCTTTGTTTTCTAATCCTGCAAAGCCAAAGATGCAGGGCATTGGTATCACAAACTCCATTGCATTCCAGATAGGACTGCAACTTAATTAAATGAAGCACAAGTCACTGGTATCATTGAAGGCAGCGAGAAATTAGGATGAAGGCAAATCTTAACAGTTCGTTCACTTGACTTCCCTGGTGCATTTTACATGCAATATTTTGCTAGTTTCAAGAACAGCCACTGAACCAAAAGCAGATATATCAACCAAGGGGATAATCTAAAGCAGATAGCATGAGAAGATGTATTTCATGAAAAAAACAGAGAATCGGTCCCACACTATAGACTTCCATCTAAGAAAAGTAGTACCCAACCTATTTCAAGGTTAAATTCTGTGATCAGAATCGGTTCCTTCCAGCTAAACAGGTTTTCTAATCATGACCTGAAGTCATGAAGGACTCTTACAAGAAAAAAAATAAATAAATTGTCACATAAGATTTAGCCCATCAACCTTCAGTTTTTGTTTCAAGGATCATATTTTCATAGAGTAAAACTTGTGAATAATAGAATGTGTTATATCTGAATGTTAAGAATAAGTTCTGCTGAATAAGGCCAATGGATGGGAGGGGCTGGGGCAGGGAAAACTATTAATCGTTTGTATTTTCTACTTATTTATGACTGCAAAACGATTGATTTTTTTTCTAATTCACTTTGTAGAATTGTGTGGCCTATTTTATCCATCATTTGTAATGAAGTTAAATATTCAGTATTGTGACTAACTTGTGGGTGAACTGGTTTGGCTATAGGGGTGGGGTGGGGATATTCTTAATGTTTATTCAAAGAAATTGTTGTATTTCCAAAAAAGGAGGGGTGGGGACTGGGAAGAACATTAGAGTAGAACAATTTGTTGTCGTGGAAGTATGGCTTGTTTCCTAAACTGCTCTAGATATGCATAAGGCAAAAAAGTTTATAACAGGTTTAAATGGGCATTTGCTAATGTCTAGTCAAAACAGTTGGACATAACCTGTGTTTGCAATTGGCCATTTCAGCCTTGTTTCCAATCAAGGCAGGCTCTTTAGATGTCTGGAAATGGGTCTTTCTCTTCATCCAATCTTTCAAGCTGTCAACATTTTCAAAAGTAGCTATAGTACTAATGGAAGGTATGGTTAAATAATTGCATAAGTAATTCACAATTTCACAATATATTGCCTTTAGACATTTGTACTTGTTTATAATGAAACTAAACTTACTAGGCAGAGTATCAGTCCAGCTGAAAACTTAGTGGAAATAAATGATTTGACTAAGAATTGAATGGCCATGGAGGCAGGAATAGAGATACGTTGTGAAGAGGGAGAAGTGGAGAACAGATGATTTCTAACCAAAGAAAACCTAAAATTCTGGCAGGCTTCATTTTATTTATTTATTTATTTGCTTTTGTGGTCATCATGAAATCTTCCATATTTACACAAAAGTAAAGTACCAGGACAATAAGTGAAATCTGCTTCTGAGACAACATGTAGATACCAGTGTTGTAAAAGGAAAGTTTGGAGAAGCTAGAAACATTTTGGAATTTATGATTGACAAGTCAGCTGCCCAGAGTGATTTGGTATGGGCTGGCTTAATAAATAGATAAAACAGTTGTCACAGCTTGCTTTAGCTAAGAGGGGCTAAGACCAGATTTTTTTAGTTAACCCAGTCACTTACTCCACAAACTCTTTAAATGCACAGTTGCTACAGATCTAGGCCAAAAATAAACAAAAAGTGATTGTCTACTGAAAAACAATCTTAATCCCCCGATGCACAATTTTTAATTGAATATTTCTAGCAATCAATCCAAAATTGAAAACTCACTTTTTAAAGTTTTTTATATATCCTAAGCTGAAGTATCTTCCCTTGCTGAAAGCAAATCAGGAACACTTCAGCCCTTTCACCAGTCTTGACCAAATATCTAGTTGAGTCATCAATCTCTCTACTCCCTTAAATTTGCCCCATAGTAAAGCCACTGATAGAATCCAAAGTCTTGCTCAAAGTATTAAGTAATCTTGATAAACCTAAAGGACGACTTTTGCAGATCTATAATGGTCTACCAAAAAGGATTACACTCTTAAATGCTAATCAATTGGCAGGGAAAAATCACATAATGTTCAATCACATAACGTTCATACAGTTCCATCTACGGCATTAGTATATTCCATCAGCCCATGTCCAGCTTTCTATCCTGTTTAAAAGGAATAGCAGCCTGCATTTAAGCTAAATTACTTTGATTCTGCTATTCAGGAGAGGTGGAAAAGAAAAATGCAATATGCATGCTCTTTTCAGGAAAGAAGATAAGGCCATGCACTTTATGAATGTAATATGCTTCTGAGACATAATGTTTCTATCTGTAGAATTAGATCAGAAACTTAGCTTTACACAATTGCATCCAAATCTTTGGAGAAGAATCAGTATTTTTCCACAGTAAGATGTGGCAAAAGGAAAATAATATGTTATCTAAAAACATAGAAGTTGACATTTGCAGATTTCAAAATACACACTGTGCAGGTTTGGCCAAAGAGAATACTTGTTCCAGAGATCTACAGGCTCATTCTAAACATGTACTTGCAAACAAGCCATACCATGTTCAGTGGATCTTCCTTTCTAGTGACTATACTTAGGGCTAGAGCCCTAATCTTGCAGTTTGTGGCTGGGCTCAAGGAACATACAGAAAATGTCTAACCCACATTTGCCCAGTCCTGGTTATTTCAGAAGCCAAGTGGACTAAAATAGCTGTATTTCTGAAGATCCTGTTCTAGATTGCATAATTAACATAAGTTCTCTTGGGAGAGGGAATGAGATTGCATAGTTAACAAGCTGACTTGAGGACTAACAAACTCCCAAGTGACCCACTAATGATCAGCAACAGGTGTTACACAGCAACAGGCAGACACTGACATTGTAGCCAAATCATGTTAAGTGGCTGTGTCATTTGCTGGGAATGGAGGGAGTTGGATTGTAAATAACCAAATGCCAGCCTGAGATTGTTCACTAATGTCTCTTCCCAACAGACCTCAACCTGTCAGTGCTGTACTCTGATAAATTCACTGTTATACTAGAACGTTGTTGTGTCATTACTGTAGCTGTGCAGTTGCAATTATGAAAGGAATGCCACTCCAGAGGTTTTATGGTTATAAAATAAGGCAGACATCTTTATTTCTACTGAAAATGTTGGTGTGCATTTTTAATTCTGCAAATCCATACTTAATGACTACTAATGAGTAGCTGTGTGGATTAAGAGGACACTATCCTCTTTTTAAGAATAATTTTTAGAATAATTTTTTTAAAAAGACATTTTAAAACTGTCATCTTTGTTCCAGAAAGGAATATTTATATAGGAGTAAGAATTTGGCTTGTATTCAGCCCTGAAAATTAGGTGGTTTTTTTGGTATAGTATATGTATACAGTAAATGTTTGTATTTTGCAGTTTTATCCGTTTTGCTTTTTAGATAAATGAAATGGGTATCAATATTTTAAAGTCATTTTGCTTTTTTAAGATGAGTTTGTAATCATTGCAAATAAACAATAAAATCCTTTCATGTATAAAGTGAACAAATCATTCTTGTGGTTTTTTTTCTTCAAATGCCTTCAAGTAAGTTTTCATTTAGATACTTATATAAAGCTTAAATGCTATTCTACTGAGTACGATTAACATAAAAATGACATGTCTGCATCTTCACTAATTTATTAAATTGTGATCTGTGAGGCTCATTGATACAGTTTATTATTTAGGGTTTGTTAAAATATTTTATACCATATTTCTAACATTTTTATTAGAATTCAATAGATAATATTGAAAGAAAGAAATGGCTGTGATAGGGGTACATTTCTACCTATTTTGTTGACCAAGGAAAAGTGGATAGAGTTACTGAGATCCTCAAAAACAGACGTGGCGAGACGTATTGGGACTGTTTTGCCATTGCCGGCAATGGGGTGGGTGCGGCTTCTGGATGATGCGTCCGGCCCGTGGGCCGGCAGTTTGATACCACTGCTCAAAAAGAATACGGGAAGAACAGAAGACCATTTGTGAGGCCTCGCTGCACTTTAAGGATACAAATTATAGTGAAAGGTGATCAGTGCCATCACAGCAAATTTGCATTGTGTTATTTTCATGATCAGCAAAAGTAGTAAATCAATGGATGAAGCAGTGAAATTTCCCCCGACCCTTTCCTGTTAGAATGAGTCCAATCATGTTGGCACTGTCTTTTTAAAATTTTCATATGAATTTATTTTTTTTGCAAGAGTTGACAAAACCTGAACAACTCATCCCCATCTTAGATCAGAGATCCATACAGATAGTCCTCAATTTACAACCATTTATTTAGTGACCGTTCAAAGTTATAATGGCACTGATAAAAGTGACTTATGATCGTTTCCACACATATGACTGTTGCAGTATCCCATGGTCATGTGATCAAAATTCAGCCGCTTGGCAAGTGGCATGTATTTATTATGATGGTTGCAGTCATATGATCAACTTTTGCAACCCTCTGAAGCAAAGTCAACGGGGAAGCCCAATTCATTTAATAACCATCTTAATAACAGCTGCAATATGATTCACTTAACAACTGTGGCAAGAAAGAGGATAAAATGGGGGCAAAGCTCCCTTATCTGTCTTCCTTAGCAATGGCCTCAATTGTGCTCATAAGTCGAGGACTACTTGTACCAGTGTTTTTTATGCCAATGACAGCAATCCTCTCCTGTCATTTTATGCCAATGACAGCATGAAATGAAGTATTTGTTCTCTTGCCTAATATTGGAAGAAGAATTGGAGAAACTCATAATCAACTATAATATTAATTTCTTTCTTTTAAGCCAAGCTGTAGCCTGATGTTGCATTAATTGATATAATTTAATTTTTATTCAGTATTTTTTGAGTTAACCTAATTTATTATGCTGAGCTGTACCTGTCTGATTTATTACAAAGAATATACAACAGCTGTTAAGTAAATAAATAACGATTTTCTCTGAATAAACTACCTCCTATCAGCACTTGTGACAATGAATTGACATTGAGCAAAGGAAGTGTTCTCGTTTTATTTTTGCATGGCTGTAATTCAGAAGAGGAATTATTGCTATGTCTTATAAAAAAGGGCATTGCGAGAAGACATGTGGAATTGTTTCAAATGACACAGACAGGGTCATGCTTACATGGGACTTTCTGACATTTTCTCCAAGGGAGGCAAAAATTGTAGCAGGCAAGGTTAAGGGCTCTCCTTCGAGATGGACAAACGATGTTGGCTAGTATTTTATCAGAGCCAGTGGTAAAGGCACCAAGGCAAAGCTAGTGATAAAGGGACCAAGCTAAAACCAAGGAGACTGAGTTCTAGTCCCACTTTACCCATGAAAGCCAGCTGGGTGATCTTGGGCCATTCATTCTGTCTCAGCTCAACCCCCTCACAAGGGGGTTGTTGCATGGAAAATAGAAGTAAGGTGGATAATTCACTGTCTTGAATTATTTGTAAAAATAATAAAGGTGAGAAATACATACATACATACATACAGTCTCCCAGACACCCATGGTTGCCAAGTAAAGATTTTGAGCAAATCCTCCTGAATGTTTCAAATTTAACCAGGCTTTTTCTGGTCCAAAAGAGGTTAAATTGTAAACTGAAGAACCACAATAACTAGACCAGCTAGGATCCCTTCCATGTGGCTAAGAATTCATCCAAGAGGAAGGAGGCCATGGTATTACTAGGAAAGAGTAATTTCATTGAATAATTATCCAAGAGAGAGACCTCCCCTGCCTTAACAAGTAGCACTTAATGGCTACCCAAGGGCCAGACCTCCGAATAATATCTGCCTAAAAAGGTTCAAAGATGTTAGACAAAGTAACGAAGCAATATTTTTTAACATTAACTGGAAGTAAAAAATTCCGTGTACAGGTGTCTACTTTCAGCCTCAACGTAATAGCAAATTTGAGTTCCGGGGATTTCATAAACACATTTCTGTACTTATTTGTGAATGTAAAGTCATATGGCAAAGTAAGAATCAGCACTATGACTAAGTTGGGCACAAGCGCTACAATTTTTCCGGAATGTCAGTAGCAGAATTGTAGAAGATGTCTTATGCTGCCATCTTACAAAGACTTCCTTGAAGTAAAGACCTGTCAGTAAGACAAGATGTCTTACTTGTTTCCTTTGCTTATATTATAAATCCTTTGGCTCTCATAATGATCATAAAACTACAGCCACCTTTGTGGAAACAGATGTAAACCCTACAGATAGGTCACTATGATAAGTTAACTTTCTAAAGAAAACATACATTATAATTTATTTTGCTTTATTTAATTTAAAAAAAAAATCTAAGGAATTGTAATACCATTTAAATACACAGATTTACAAATAGGTCCAAAACAGGACTAAAATATTCTTTGAATATTGTGCTTTCATAGATACATAAGAAAATTAGCATATAAAAATATTTTGTACAGGAATACACTCTTAATATATGGATAAAAATACACATTTAATGCATTTCATCTTTATATCATTCAAAATGCATAGGAAGGGATACAAGGGCAATTTTTAAAGCCTTATTAAAAGTCTTCATTAAAAACCTAATTGAAGCCACATGGAGCTTCTGCCATTATGAGAATATTGCATATAAAACCCCCATTTTCCACACATCCATTAGTATTTCTTTTTTGTTTTTTTATGGCACATTATTTAGGTTATGGCAGCAATGGTATGGAATATTGCATACTTTGAGAAGAGAGAATGGCTACAGCTAGAGACAGCCCAATAAGACTCATGCACATCTTGATAAGAAAATCACGGAGATAGCAGTGCTCTGAAATAGCAAAAAAAGATATATATGCTCACAGCTTGGACTGGGTTCAGACTAGAAACCTCCTTGGATCAGCACTCATCTAACAGGTGTTTCCAATCTTGACCAAAACGTGGCATCTCAATATGGATCAAAACAGTAGAAAATGACAACAAAATTAAAACTATTAGAAAGGAAGAGAGAAGCCAGTTTTCCCATTCAGTGAAGTAAATTCCCAAGTAAAGGTCAACTTAAATAGTCAAAATAAAGTGTGGTTCCATAACTCACTAGCATAGGCAATGACTGGCCAGGTAGAAATCACAAATCCTGGCATTTTCCCCTTTTGAAATGAAGAAATCATGGCATGTTTTGAAATTGTTAATTGTAGGCAGATAATTAAAAGAATGTGAGAATCACACACGACAGCACTACAAGAGGATTTGACTCAGGAGGCTGATGCAAGGTCCTGGTTTACAAAGGCATCATGCTCACAAGTCATAGAAGAAAAGGTAATTATTGAAAAACATGGGGATGCTGCTACTGATATGTTACAACAAAGTGTCAAGCAACATCATGAGATTAAACAATTGTACACATTGCACTGGAACAACCCACAGAGGATGTACTTGGAGGTACGAAATCTAGAGACACTGTCTCATGCTACAGAGTAACCAAGGTTCCTTCTACCACCACCATCACACAGATCATTAAGGGGGAGAAGACTTTGATGCAAGTGACTTATGTTCAGCTGCCCACTCATAAATGTGTACAAAAAGGACATCTGGGAACAATTTGGGGCTCTGTTTGTGCTCAAAAATAAACAATGTGGTCCAAGAGACTTCATGTTCCCCATGCAATGCTATATAATAAGTGCTTTCAAGAAATGGTAGATGGAGAGTAAGAAACTCAGTAAGAAATTAAGCTGGGCAATATTTTAAAGGTGAAACATATTTCTGTTACCACCCAAAGAATAAATTACGGGGATTTTGAAGGTGAAAAGTATTTCTGGTATCTCCCAACGAATAAATTATGGGGAAGGTGTTTGTCAGAGCTTCATCTTCTTGATGAACAGGTCTTTTAAATTAAATCCAAAAGTAAAATGTGCACTTAGTTTCAAAGGGATGTGTGACAGTGATCTGTGAGAGTGTGCAGGGGAACTGGAGAAGGGGCTCAAGGAGTGTTGTAGAGATGTCTTTCACACAAAAAAGGGGAATCCATTTTAAGATTAACTTAATTTGATTAAACAAAACAAAAACAGCACCATTTATCCAAGTCCTTCAAGGCCGGGGAAGAGAAGATTGTGCTCTATTAGCCCATGCATTGGAAACACTCATATGATGAGTAAGATTGTTTTCCTGTGGGTGAATTATTCTGGGTGGTGTTGTCAGCAACTGGCTCCACCCCTGACTAGTTCACTCCCTCTCAGTTTGAACCTTCAAAGCCAAGTTGTGTTGACTTCAAAATGTGATCGGTTGGGGGAGAGGAAACATCTCTTCACAGCAACTGACATTACGCAGATTAAGCATAAGTACGAGTGCAAAAGAAAACAAATAAACACAAATAAACGACAACCAAAATAAAAACTCTCACACATCACACAACAGACACCCATTAATTCCTTTGCTCCCACAGAACCTTGAGAAAAGCAGACACCAAGCCTAGCTGTCCTTCAGAGTGTCTGTGCGCTGGTCTTCACCTCCCCTCCCACAGACGGCTGGTCTGGAAAGCTTCTTGGCTCCGGTAGACAAGTATTGGCAATGAAAGCCAGGGGGTTTCGACTGATT